CAATATCTTTTCCATGTACACAGTAGTGCATTTGAACAATGTGGTATTGCATAATATTATTACTCAGATGTGAAGAAACTGATGCAATTCAACTTTAATGGATGTATTTTTTAATCACGTAGGTTTGAAAAGTGGAACAGATTTGAGCTTGTTCTTTTATCTTCACTTCTGGATAAGGGATAAAAACTTGTTTTAAAATCTGATATTCGCAGCTCTGGAACAGCCCTTTCAGGCCTCACAGAAAGTCTTCAGGACATGTGACATACACATTCTGTCTCCACCCTGTTTTATGCTGTTAATACATAATTGTATTCATTTTTCACACACAACCAGATAGACAAGCCCTGAATACTGTGTTTCCTTGATTACTTGTAAAACATGATAGGGAGACTGGCGGATTACCATTTATTGCATTAAGTTGAATACAGATCCTGACCTCCAAGGTATCTTTGTCTTCACACATTTCTTTCCTTTGAAGGACAGTTAGGGCTACTAATGCTGCAATGAATGTCTTTCATGTTTCAAGTCTGGTTCTGCATTCATCAGGTTTATTAGTGACTGTCGTGCTATCTCTTAGGTTTTAAGTTGATACTGTTTTACCATAGTCTTATCTTAAAGAGGCAGAAGCTATTGACTTAATTGGCAGTAATGACAGAAATTTGGCCCCGTTCTTCGGTCTGTGTTTCTATTTGTTTCTAGATAATTTCATAACGTATCTATAGCTTCATGTGTTGCCATCAAGTATTTGGTTGAAACAGCAAAAAAAATTGGGAGATGATTGATTAGAAACATATTCACTGTAAAGGAGCCACTGATTGTCGTGATGTTAGAGCTCTATCTAGATTTGTGGCTTAACACCATGTTATATGTGCAGCATAACTGTATATAAATGTTGCTAACCACAGACTGAAGGGTAAGTATATCTTCAGTTGGTTTCTGCTGCCTTCTGTGACCATGTAACACAAATATCAGTGTGGTTTTCCCTGGATTCATTCAACTCCATTCTCTCAGTCATGAGGTGATGATTGCAACTACCTTGTGTTGAAATGTGTGTTTTGAGGATGGCAGTGCAAAATCCATATGGACTACTTGCACCTTCTCTCCATGTGAATATCACTATGAGCTAATTGCCTTTCCCCCCACAGTTGGATGATCCTTGCAATGACTCTATCCTGCGTCATGTCTGATGAGGAAGTGAAGTCACTATGTGTGTGGGGGGGCCCCCGGACACATGTAGATTAAAGAGAAGTCTCCCCACCCCCCAGTCATTTTGTTGCTTAGGAGCAAACAACCCTGTCCATCTCTCTCTAAGGGAAATCAGAAGAAAACTGCAACGCCAAGTAACCCCTCCACCTTTCTTTTCAGGAATGACCAGGGTATTGTTGTAGCTGAGTGTTAGAAATTTCTAAGAGTATTTAGTGCTTTGTATTATTCATTATACGAGCTAAAGAGAATTCTAATGACTGTGCATCCCTCTGTGGCCCTGTCTAGGACTCAAAGTAGGTTGGAAGCCCTGCCCCCTTCTTTCTGAGAATTCAGACACAAAACTCATGAGGTTTCGCAGAAAAGGATTAAACCCCCACAGAGCAGTCCTTTTGGCTCAAACCCGGACTATTCCAGAGGAGGGGGGCACACAGCTTCATTGTCTTATTGTTTTTATAGACAAAACATTTCAGCCAGCTCTTCGTTTTGCCCTGAAAGACTCAGCAACATCAGTCAGATGAGAGTGCAGACTAAAGGGAGATGTTTGAAACAAAGATTGTACTATGCTGTTGCTCTTGTGTCTTGAACACAGAGGCAGCCTCAAATTTGATAGCTGTGGTCTTAGTTTACAGATGACATGTTTATCCTTCTGAGTCAGCTGGGGCCATTTTCTTACAGCATTTCTAGGAATGAATTGATGCTGCCACCATTGCCTAGAACAGCCTTCACAGATCTATCCATCAAATCACTTCAGTCTCTCTCTTGCTAAAATCCTTCAAAACCCACTTCTGAAACAACCTCCCTAGATTTCTGGAGCCTCTGCTCATATGCTGTGTCAGTAGCTGGCTTCACCCAGCTGCAATCGAGGCTACCACAAGGCCTTGGAAAGTTTGTCACATTCTCACAAGAGGCATAAGTTACGGCATAAGTGCTACTGCTGCTTAGCAAGAGCTGCAACTGAGACTGCATGGTAGCTGCCTGCCTCTTACCCTGCCCACACTGTGGC